GAAAAAAAATGACAGAAAATGTCTAGTTGACGGCGTGATCTCAAAAGAAGTCATTTTTCTTTTTATGTGCCATGTCCTTTCATGACGTAGGCGAAGAAGAAAGATTCACCAAATATTAAATGTAAGGGTTTACTTACTTTTGCACTTCTTAATTTTTAATTAATATTTATATTCCACCTTGGTAAAAAATTGAAAGTGATTGCAATTTGTTTAATAAAGGTTTTTCTTAATGAATATGTAGCTATGTTATGGGTTTTTACTTACTTTTACGCAGAACTATATGTCTAAATAAATTTGTAACAAGTAACACAAGCTTAAAGAAGCCCGGAGAGGATATTAGCCAAATAGTTGACCAAAAAAAAAAAAAAAAAAAAGAAAAAGAAAAATATTTGCTATTGAATAGTAACATCTCCTTTAACACATACTAGATAATAATGAAATATAAAAAAGTTACTTGGACTAAAATAATTTCTGATATTAATATTAACATATTAAAATGTGCATGTTTAATATGGTGGATAATTGTATGATAAAGCAATAAAAGTGTTTGAACTAAACGGAGAAGAAATTTTTGTTTATTGATTTGTGAATCAGAAAATTCTATATAAGTTAATTTCTCTGAGTACAGTTTCTTTTTTATTTCTCTCAGTAAAATCGAAAAAAGATAGCAACTTTCTTTGTATCTTTATGTATAATATCAGGGCCGATGCAAGGGTCTCGTGCCCCACCCTGAATCCATAGTAAGCAGCCTCAACTCTATTACATATCAATTTTCATAAGATAGTATTCATATAAAATACAAATTTTATTGTAACCTAATTATCTACAATAATGGATCATATGCAATATAAGTGAACAATTTAACAATAAAAATTTAAAATAAATACAATGTATCAAAATACAAATTAGAGACATGTCATAATTAATCTTAATTAAATCATTAATGTTTTGCGGCAATTTTTAACATCAACTAGAGGAGCTATCCAGTTCTCACTTTCCAGTTATGATAGAGTCAAAAAAGCGTCTCCGATTCTTTGTGGATAACAGATTATTTTCCACCGTCCAACCTATTTCCCACGGGCGGGGTATGGCAAGCCTCTCACTGCTTTATCGGTACTTCCATGGAAGGTGCTCGGACGAACAGCATTCCTTGGTTTCGCCAGTTCATCCTTCACGGCTAGGACCTGCCATGCTACTCACATTATAGCAAACCAGTCACATTCCATTCGTATTCCATTGATGGGAACTAAGTTCCACTCAAACAGCTTCTTCCCAAGAACCACTGTGGAACCGACTCCCAAAATCACTTCAATCTTAACCAGTTCAAGTCTAGAGATAACCGTTATCTTCCCCCTCCTACCCGTATAAACTGCCTCTTACTATAACTCACTACCTCGGACTTGAACCTGTCGGAGTTAGCTCCTCCTTTAGTTCCTTAACCCTTTACCAGGGGTCTCTCTCCCCTGGCTATAAATACTGGGTGATCCCTTGCCTCGATCTCTTTTTTCCTCAACCCTGGGTCCTTATACCACCTCGCATCTGTGAGCTCTCACAGATACAGCGTTTCCCAAATTCTGGGAACACGCTAAGAACAATACACGTACGTACGAACACTCACCACATTACACACACACCACACAAACTCAATGTAAATGTCCATGTGCTTGTAACCTTTTGTTTAATAAATATATTTGTTTGTATATAATTATCAGTCTTGTTTGTTTTCTTTGGACTTAATTAAAGTCCAACATTCTCAGGTAGCTGGACCAGCTAGCAGGAAATTTTAACCCACGTGTGTTCTTTACATCTTCACCGCCACGGTCCACTACAAATCCCACTGTAAGAGATTTGGATTGTTAAAAAGTTGAATAATTTTAATACATTCAGCATTTTGGATAAAAAATTGAATTTTATAAACTTTTTTTCGAGACTTAACATGAGCAAAAGAAAGTCATGGATTTTGAACCCAGAATGACGTCAAAATCTGTGAAAATATTAAAATAAGACTGTAAACGAGATTGTCTTGCTTTGGGTGGCAGACATTTAAGAACGATAACTCTGAATACAAATATAAACTCATCACTCTCTTTCCCAAGAAGTCATGGCTATTCACAGATACGAAATAAAAGAAAGCTGTGGAGAACCATGATCACTTATGTTTTGAAGGGATATGATGATATTAAAAAATAAATAAACAATCGAGCAGTAATTTGAAAATTATAAGTAAACCATAAGTGAATATGAGGTGATTGACCGTCCTGAGTATGACAATAAACTACATCCGCGTCCTGGGTAAGAAGTCCAACAGCAAGGCCTCTGATCAGGAGGTTTTGAGGAGCATGCAACCACCTCTTAATTGCTGGCATCCCCAGGTCCACCGTGACCCTGAGTGGTAGCACCTGTTAGGGTTCCAGCTCTAAGTAAATATTTAATCCCCAAACTGGGATCAAAACATTAAGAAAGTGTAAAAATAAGTTTTAATACCAGAAATACTTTGTAAAAAATTATTACCAGCAAAACATTTTTGAAAAAAAATATTACCAGCTATACACTTAAAAAAATCACCAGCTATATGCTTAAAAAAAATACCGGCAATACATTTTTGAAAAAAAAAAAAAAATTACCAGTAATAAAAATTTTGTCGGCATTAACTCATTGAGGTTGATATGCCGTAAAACAAAATAAAACAAACCTAATCAAAGTTGGTTTGTGACGATCATCATCATCACACACATACATACTTATGCAAATTCAAATTATACAACCACAAGCATTCATTGGATAGTAAATCAACACTACTGTGTAATGCGACAATGTTATAATTGCTATATTTTCATGTAGTCGATTTTGTGCACTTTTGGGAGAATCGGATCCCAGAAGCTTTTCGTGAGTCTCCCCAAAGCTCGCTCGCTGATTGGTCAATGCCAACCAATCAGCTTGTCTGCACGTGAAGGGTGATTCTTCCCGCGCAACGCTTTCGGAGCCCATAATCCCCTATATAAGCAAAGAAAATTCTTAGTAAACCAGTGAGATCTCGCCTCCTTGGAAGAGTTCCTTACGCATGGCTTACCATCTCTCAGTTGCGTCTCTGTCTTTGGGCAGAGTGTGCTCAGGGGCTTCTCTGTCAAAGGACCGAGGGGCAACTGAGAAAATAATACTGGGAGCTGCCCAGCCCTGGGGAACAGCGGCCGGAGGCCGCGCCCTCCCATTGCATAAGAGGGAGAGATCGGTGCTCGCACCGAGGTCAGCGGGGGTTAATGGGCAATTTTTGTCCCTTGCCCGGGTGTACGCGCTCGGGTCCCCACTTTAAAAAGAACTTGTGTCACATCTCGTCCTCATGAGATCTCAGCTGCCACAGAAATCCACGACAGTTGAAACCATGCACCAATCTTCTCACTCATACCACCACTCACATGCGGAATATTCCCTATACTCACATAAGATTTTTTCTTACACAGCAAAACTGTTGAAAAGATTTGTTACCAGAAACTATTACAACCTTATTGCTTTCAGTGAACTTTGGAACAATTGATAGTTGAAGAGAGACAACTCTTTTTTTTACTCAATGCATGCTTTTCTTTCACATCCTTGTTTGTACATCTTGTTAAATACAAATTTTATGTGCAATGATGTCTTTGGCTTATCCTCTTTTCCTTCACGTCCGTTTGGTTTCCAAAGTTAAATAAATATGGTGAAGTCCGCGACAGGTTCACATTTTTATCATTTTTTCGATTTTTATAAATATTTGAATAAAAAGATTTCTTTTCAAATTTCTTTTTATTTAATAAAATGATAAATAATAAATCTTAATAAAATGATAAATAATAAATCTTAGTAAAATGGCGAATAATAAATATCGCATTGTACTTGGTTCACATATTTTTATAATCTTGTAAATAATCATTGCCGAAGGAGTGTCGGTCTTATGTAGTAATGGAGGAGTCAAAAGAAAAAAAAAAAACAAAAACAAAAAAACAAAAAAAAACACTTTTGATTTTGAAACAGTTTTTTTGGAGTGGACACAAAAAAGATTAAACTTTGCCAATATCCCTTTCTTTTTAAAATATTATTTAGTGCTAAAAAGTTCTCCAAGCAATACACAATTATTAATATGAGGATTATACTTTTGGCTTGGATGTTATAATCTCAAAGATAGAGACACAAAGAAAGAGAGAGCGAGGAAGCAAAAATATATAGTTCCTGGAAAAGACTTTAAAACAATTTAATGATGGATTAATTGCAAAGAATAGACACGACACTTATTTAGTAATTCTTTATTTTTATTTAAAGGTTTTTTGAGTTATCTCCCTTCTATTGCAGTAATATGGAGGTTAGGCAAATCATTACCTTATTCATTAACTGCCTTATTTGCTAATTTAAACATTCTGTGTGATTCAGTGTCTTTTGTTAACTAAGCTTAATGAATTCTTCGGTAATACTTTTAATTTCAGATCTTCTTGGAGTTCAAAAAGTAAAATCTTGTTAAATCTGTTCCAATTTCATCAAATAAAAGAAAGAAATAACTCTTTCAAAACGTCAGTATTTATCTCCCCTTTACACTAATTCATACACACACTCATATATGCCCCGACCGCTCATTTTTAAAGCTTTTTCTGTCTCATTCGGAACAGTTACATTTTGCGTCGAAATGGTTATTTCATAGTGTAATTAATTAAAAAGGAATTACTTGTACATACAGTACACTTAAAAAATGAGTAAAGTTTTTACGTAATTTAGTTTTTACATGGTTTAATAATATATTATTTTAATTTAGCACAGGTGAATGAGAATGGTTAATTTTATTTTTTTTATTCGGTTTCTTATAAAGACTAAAGTACTAGAGATCTGTTTTTAATTGCAAAATACGAATATTAGAAATTGTTCATATCACCTTTGTTGAGGGAGTTCTCGTAAGAGTGATCTCCCTTAGCCACGTGTTTGTATACCACGAATTTTAAATAAGTGTTTACCAGACTACGTTCTACAGTATAACTTTCTAAATGTTTTACCTGGTTGGCCTCGGACTTGGTGATGCTAAGGATATCACAGTTAAAGGTTTAGAAGTAGTTAAACATGCTAAACGTGTTTACTTGGAAGCTTACACGTCTATCCTGACTGTCGGGAAAGACCAACTGGTGCGTAAGACGACAACAAAATAAAGAAATTGTCGAACATTTTTCATTTTATTTATTTGAATTTATCGTTCGTGAAATAAATATTCTCTCTTATTGTTAATGTTATTATTGCCAATGGATCTTATTTTGAGTCATTTTTTCGTGTACACTATTATTATTTGTTACTGGTTAAACAGAAAAACGTACTGTTGAAAATTAGGCTTTTCTAATTAGTTTTTGTTTGTTTTTACGATAATTGTATTTTACTTGTTAGTCGTAATTTTTTTCATGTTAGTTTCTATAATCAATTTTTACGCCTTTAACACTGTGAGTGATGTTCTAGCACAAGATTGCCACCACAAGAATTTCGGGAGAGTTAAGTTTACGTTTTAAAAGATTTTTGATTCTGTTATTTTTTGTTTTATCCGATAATAAAATGAATATTTTTTAGATTTGTTATCCTGCTGTAAACGCTTTTTTTTACGGTTTGTTGCATATTTTTGTTCGTCTATACTTATTTTTTTGGGATAAGAAGACCTATACTTTTCTCCACCCCCATTTAACTCTCTAAAAGAAGTTTTAAATGCAAATGTTTCATGGAAAAAGGGAAGATGAGATTTATTTATTTTGAAAATTAATGAGTAATGAGATTTCATATATTTTTGGACAAATGATTTTCTCCTGTTTAATTTTCAGTTTCAGCAAAAAGTGAGGGGGCTAAAAAGCCTCCAGATATAGCACCATTCATAGCAAATTACTAACTGATGAAGCAATTTTCATTTACGAAATTATTTTTCTCCACTTGTTTATCAAACAAAATCAAATCCTGAAATATCCACGAATACAATAAATTTATTACACAAAATTTTCTGTTTTTTTCTCATCTTGTTCCAAGTATATCTCTCATATCAATTTTTAGAAATGTGAATTGTTGTTGAAGATAAAATTCTGAGTTGATTTCAGCACGTGTTTAGTTTCTAGAAACAAAATTATAAATTTTCGTTCATGAGAACTTTTAAAAATGCTCTTCTCAAACTTTTTATTTATTTAGAAACGAAAGATACATTTACTGTACAACCTCAGTGCAATATTGTAAACATTTAAGAACGTGCTTCAACGCATATTTCTAGCTATTATCACATGTTTCTGTCGACACTTTTAAGTGGAAAGTAAAACTAGTAGTATTTTTTATTTTCATTTTAGGACATGAAAGTATTTAAAATAGAACAATTTGAACAGAAAAAATAGCGTCCAAAATGAAATAAATTATTTTCATTTACATTTTTCTCTAAAAAAAAAAACAAACCCCAAAGTCCAACATGAGACCACTCCAAGTCTTAGAATTTGTAGGAAAAAAATAAACGTTTAGGTCTTTACCAGATTTGGAATTGAGAAATGAATTAAATTCAAAATTCAATATTTCAACTATTTTTCTCTGTAAGAGTAATTTTTCTCTGAAATTTTTAATTTACTCAAAGAAAATTAACCAGGTAAAAAAAGGTATTTTTTTTCGGTTGATAAACGCAGAAGCAGACAGAAAAAAAAACTATTTTGGTTTCTGGAAGTATTTTGTAAAGGATGGGAATAGTTCCTGACTAGTATAACTTTGGTTTCATCTCTCACACCATTTTAAAATTTTATTTTATGTTACAACTCAAAACGATTTCTTCGACATAACAAGCACTGCCTATAAAATAAAATTAAATAGAGGAGATTTAAAGGGAGGTAAATCAGTGTGTGGTATGCCGAAATTGTTTGACATGAACTAAAAAAGTAAAAACTTACTGTGAATATTTGTATATTTTTTAAAATCAAATACATTCACTTGTTATCGTTTAAAAAAAGATTACAAAAAGTAATATAAGATAAAAATGAAGAAATTCAAGAAAACTCAGTGCTGAAGAGATGCTTTATTTATTTTTTAAAGTATTTCTTGGTCAGGCTGAGAACTTTTCAGCTCTTTATTTTGGCCAAAATTTTTTTGTGGAAGATGCTTAATGATTTTCCTTTGATTAACTTTTGGAGGAGTACCTTGTACAGGAACCTATTTTGACATTACAATTTAGATCTTTCTTATTGCCAGTATACCAGATACAAGTTTTTTTTACGTTGTGTTTCGTAAACGTATTCTCGCATTTATGATTTTTGTGACTATTGAAACTTTCCAACTTTAAAATGCTTCCTTTAGTATAAAGAAAAAAAGTGTATGTACGTATGAATGAATGTCTACACACAAAAAAGTTTGGATACTGATATCAACACTGAGTGGCGACAGTCTGTTTCATACTGAAGATTGCATGAAACAGACTCGCCACTCGGTTTTGACATCAGTGTCCACACACTTCTTATATTTACATGCAAACTATCACGGATATTGAGCACTTTTACCTTATAAATATAGCATACAAATCTATATTTTATCATAGGTATATGTTAGAAACAACAGATTAATTTGTGCTGATTAATTTTAATGACCAACCAAAGTTATGAATAATTTTTCTTAGACAAGGAAGAAATTTTGTCAGAATTTGTCCAAAGTTCATTTCAGAAGGAAAGTACAGGAAATATGATCCAAGCTTTAGACTTTAAGAAAAAGCTTTTTGGAAAAGTAGATCATTAAAATTAATCAACACAAAATATCTGTTGTTTTTAATAATATTTGCCCTAAGGAATATTTGCTACCTTAATACACAGAATATATAATGACTGAGAATATACACACATCTCTCTCTCTCTCTATCTCTCTCTCTCTCTCTCTCTATATATATATATATATATAAGTCATTAGTATTTTGCAAAACATCTTTTACTCTTCTACACTTTCATTTATGTTAGTTTAATTTTTAAAGCATGTGATGACTACTTCAACTATTACTTTCTTCTTTATGTGCAATGTCCCTTCAGGGTGTAGGTGATCATGGCTCTTCACAATTTCCTGCCCTTTGTAGCTCTGATTAAATTTTGTTTTTTTGTTGTTTCTCTTAAACCTTGTTCTGCTATCCATTTACTCAAACCTGCTAAGTAGGTTATGTGTTATTTTCCTCTGTTCCCTTTTGCCTTCAATCTTTCCTGTGAGTATCAGATTTTCCAAGCCCTCTTTCCTCATTATGTGCCCTAGAAATTTCAATTGTCTTTTTCTGATGTTAAGTATAAGTTTCCTTTTTGTTTCCATTTCTCTAAAAATTTCATCATTGCTCACATATTCAGTCTGGTATCTTTAGCATATATATATATAATAAAGTGAACATTGAAGTCAACACTCAGAGGCAACAGGCTGTTTCCGATTTCTTTTTGAATTTGTAGTTCTGATGAATTGGATTGTGATTACGATCCCAATGTAATAAGTTATAACCATGGAATATTAGTGTTAGAGCCTTTTATATTATTTTATATATATATATATATAAACTCAAGATGAAAGCCGAGGATTTTTCCCTGTCTTAGTTAACTTGCTTACATAAGAGAAAAGAGAGTGTATGTTTGAATCTAATAAGTATATTGTACAAATGTTAGTCATCAACCCTTTCTGATTTATTTATAACATAAGAGGTAGAAAACAAAAACATAATAGTTAGAATTGTTAAACCCATTAATAATAAAAAAAGTTAAGCTCATCATATATTATAAAAAAATTTAAAACAATTGACCTCATAATCTCTAATAACCCTACATCCACACAACTAAATCCGCTACAAAAATACAATGTTGTGTATAAATTTACATGCCCATTCGGAGATTGTATCTTTGATACTAATAATAAACCCACTACATAAATTGGTTTTACTACAACCATGCTCTCCTGTAGACTTACCTGTCACCTTTCTGATCTTAGTTCTGTTAAACATTTCTTAGAAAAACAGCCATGAACATAATATTAGACATATATTGGTTGATAACACAATAATAGTCACATATACACACAGTAAAAAGAACTTTCAGATATTGGAGGCTCCTACATTAAAACAAAGCAACTTACACTCAACAAAATTACATTTCAAAACTAGTCACAGCACATTACATTGCATCTAGACATATGGTTCTTTTGTTAATATTTCGGCCTCTTGCGTGGTATGACATCATAGAACCTCATCTTGAATTTACGACCTGCATCTGCTATTCCATGACCGTTATTGTTGCATAGCAATCTTCTATGTCAACATAAGAAAATATCATCTATGATGGTGAATATCTTTGAATGTCTGTATAACCACTCTGAAGATGGCTCATGTGAGCCAAAAGCTTAGATTAAGGACCAACTTAATAAAAAAAATATTCAAATTTTGCACAATTTTTGTCTATATTTATATAATTATGTGAAATTAAAGCAAACATACAAACTTTAGGATGGCTCATGATCAGACATAATAGATGTTTGTTGTCTGTTATATTTAATAACTTGGACTGATTTTAAACTTAATTTAAAATTGGTCCAAGTTATTGGAACACCCTATCTCTCTCTCTCTCTCTTTTATATATATATATATATATATATATATATATATATATATATATATAGTGCATGTGTGTAGATATATATATATATATATATATATATAGTGCATGTGTGTAGATATAATTGGTGGCTGCTCATTTCCAAGTGTAGCTGTTTGTTAGAATGTATAGCTAATTCTTGTTGTAGGTACCTGCCAAGTCACATTTGTGTTTGTTCAACACGTAAAAAGCCAACCTATGGTTTATGCTGCAACTGTGCTGAGCAGACCTTAGTTACAGTTTCTGAGAGAAAGTGTGTAATCCAATATGATTAGTAGTTGAACAAGGCTCATACCTTTGATCACAATGACTGCATGACCATTGTTAACTTCCAATTAAATTCTAACCACTTGACCAAATGAGGTTATATATAATAGGCTTGTCTTAGAAGTTTCTGTTTGAAAATTGAAAGGTATGCAATTACCTAAATTTCTTTTTTGAGCTTAGTGCATTAAAAAGTTGACAGTTCATTTTTCAAACTTTGGTTTAATGTTTTTAGTATTATTTGTCTTTCGATTGAATTTCTTTTCTCTGCAGGAAAACTTCTATGGTCGAGAAATAATCCTTGCTGACAGAGAAATGGTGGAGCAATGTTCAGGTTAGTATAATGACCTTCAGTTTACGTGATTAAAATCAGATCTTTCAATTGAAATAGATTGCAAACTTTGTTCATCAAACTTTCAACTACTTGACAGTTTTGAAGTATAAATTATAAAAATTAAGAATTGTTAAAATAAATTTGGCTTTAGGTTAAAAATTTTTTTTTTCATAAACATTATTTTAATGAGGTATTGTAGTAAAGAAAAGACTGTCAACTGATAGTAGCAACTGCAATAGATGTCTTGTCTCTAGCAAGATGGTGGAAAGACCGTTCGACATAAAAACCCCGAATTCAGTGGTGATATGAGTGGACAATCTGTGGTTGAATGGATCGAAAAAGTGGAACTGGTCTGCGAATTATGCGAGATCACGAAGATTGAACAGATTCTTCCACTGCGATTGAAAGGCGGTGCCCTTGCTGTGTATAGGCGGCTGAGCAAAGAACAGAAAAGTGACATTGAGCAAGTAAAGCACACTACTAACTGCATTTGGAACTGACTGGTTTGTGGCCTCTTTATTCTTAAGCTTCTCCAGAGTGGGGCGACTGTTGGAGGAGATTGTATGTTATGTTCTGAGGATTCTTCTGGTCTGGCAGCCTCACGCACAGAGTCTTCGCCATCTGAAGAGGTGCTAGCCCTACCTCTGATGGTAATTATTCGTTCACTTTCTGAGCACTCACTGCTAGTGTCACTTGTTGAAGTATCTGTAAAGATCATGCAATACTTTGTAAAAAGAATTATTTTTGCCATAACTGAGAAAGCATTAACATTCTAAGTTTTATATTATTAATGTTGTTATAATGTAAACATTGTTTTATACCTTCATGTGTAAAATTTGTCGAGGAAAAAAGGTGTATTTTTTTTATAACACTTAGCAACGATCGTCAATTGATGTTTCATTGGAAATGAACTAATATCATCAGTTGATTTAAAATTTTTTTCAACAATACAGACATCATTACTTCATGATTCAAGTTTAAATGACTAATTGGCAAATCTAGATTTCATGAGCTTACTATTTATTTTAGTATACAGGGTTTAATGGGTAAATTGTTGGCATTTTGTATTTTTAATTTCATAGGTGTGTGCTGTTTGTTTTTGAATTTGTCAACTGCACAGCATAGTAAGGTCAGTTGGGCAAAAAAGATCACCATGACACAATTCACTCTGCCAGAAATTTAGAAACGGCATACTTTACTGCTTGGCATTTGTGCCAGAATCTTCAATTGATTTCAGAGTGTTTGGGTGTCATTTGAGGACAGTGCAGAGGACTTGGAAAGAGTTGGATGAGTGTAATGGTGATTATGAAGGTACAGCAGCTTGGAAAACTCACTCCGATCATTCTGATACAAAAAGAACGCCTGAATTTGTTTTTGAGGGCCTCAGACTTAACATAGAGGCCTACGGTGTCTTGAGGAGGTAGTACTACCCTGGGTCAAGTGGGTAGCTGCTGGAAGAGCCTATGTTTGGCAACAGGACTCTGCACCATATCACACAAGCAAGAGAACCCAGTCATGGCTGTCAGACAATTTCTGTGACTACATCACCCCTTACATCTGGCCACCTAACTCTGCAGACAGCAACCTCAGTGATTATTATGTGTGGGATGCAGTTGAGTGAGAGACCAACATATTCTCATTTTTGCATAATTTAGATGACAATTTATCCATCGCACCCTGTACATGAAATTATCATTACCTGGAATATTTACTGGTCAGTAAAGCTGGAAGGAAAAAATCAAAGGTAGTATTAATCTTGAAGAGAAAAGAGGCAAGAAATGGTGATAACAATGAAGTTATGCATGGAATACTTCTCAGAATATCATATCATTAAAATAATATTCAATTTAGGAACATAATGTCTATTTTATTTCCCTTTTGGATTTTTATAATCTAAAAGAATTAAGATATTTTTATAGCTTTTATATATAGTTAAAGGGAAAATAAGCATAAAAACTTCCATTTAAAACATGGATTTTCTCTTTTTTTTCTCTTTGGTGTGCAAGTTCATAGATCCTTTTCCACCATTTAAGGGTTAAATATCTGATGGAAGCTACAATTACAACATAAACACACAAAATATGTTTGTCTGAACAATTCTTGGAAAAAAATTTTTTTGTTTAGAAATTTGGTTAAAATTTTTACTTTTTTTTAGCAATGTTTTTCGTTTGATAATGGTTGGTAATGTTTTTTTTATTCTAAAGCTTTCAAACCCTCTTTGCATATAAAAATTTTAAAATTTTTGTTTATTTAAGTTTGTAAATTGATATTTAATAATTTGTCATTGAGAATGCTGGTTAAGATTATGTTTTGAATATCAAATTCTACTTGAAGCTGACATTGTTAATTGTTGATTTTGATTATATAAATTTTTTTTTGTTTTCAGAAACATTATTACAAGATGCTGTCACTGAGGATGTGGCTTTTCTTGTTGTTGGAGATCCTTTTGGGTAAGTTAATTTGTTTTGTTTTTTCTTCATGCTATTATTTATTTAGTAAGCTTAAATCTGGCACAAGGTCACAGTTGTAGGCCATCCATTAAAGATCAAACTCATTATGCTTGGTCTGAAAACTTTGTTGTTATTTGCAAACCATGATGTTATAATTGATATTTATCTCTGATATGCTTTTACTTCCAGCTGTTTCATTAATGACCAAAGCTATCATACACAACTTCATTACAAATGTTGAAACTTCATATGAGATGAATATGAGCCAGAACTGTGCATAATGATATATATAAAACAAACTAGATAAACAGTAAAAAGTTGAAAAACATAATTTCAAACTACAAAGTCAGACATGTTGAAATAAATATATCAGCCCCTTTGGAATAAAGTCAAAATAATAGGAAACTTCACTATGGAGGGTGCATAGATTGAAAAGACAAGGATGAATATATAAATTTGAAAAATGATTGCTCAATAGAAATCAGCTATTTATAGAATTCTGTGCTCAGTTATAGCATGGTAGAGAGGGCTCTTTAACAGTGATTGAGATTAACATTGTCTCACTGGAGATAGAACATTAGTCTTATGAGAGCTGGTTAGGTGATGATGCCAGGATGATGCAATGATTTTTTAAAAAATTAAAATTCCATCATATTCATTCTAAAAGAAACTAATTTCTTAAAATAAAAACAAATTTAGTGGTGGGCTTTGAATAAATGGATCATGTGCACACACATATGAAAACCTCCAAAAACTTAAGTGCTTCTTTTTAAACTGGTGGATAAAAACTGAATGGAAAATGAAGGTGAAAGCCTCATATTTAGATATTTGCATTGTTTATCTCTAAACATAAGAACAAATTTTGCTTTAATAAAGAAAGAAAAAAATTTTTTTTTCCGTCAATTTTTGGTTAAAGAATCTTGAAGGAACCATTAACAAACAGAATTTATGTGTTATGCTTTCTTCTTATCATAAACTAAATTTAAATTTGTTTTCAATTTAGTTTATGATAAAAGATGAATTTTAAAAAACGATAAACATGAAAAATTTAGTCATGATGCAAGGTAGATAATTTTAAATGAAAATGTTTGGATGACAATTTGAAAAATTCTTGTGAGTTGTTGGAATGCACTAATATTCCTTACATAGAAAATGAATGCATACGGCACAATTCTTAAAGTATGATAAAAGTTTCACTGATCATGAAAATGAATTAAGTGTAAAATTATTCAAATGCTTAAATGAAAATAAAGTTGTGTTTTTGATAAAAATCCCTAATTTGTTTTTGTATTTCTTTATTTTTTAAACCACAATATTTTAACTTTTTTAATTTTCATTACAATTTGTACAACTTGCATTAAAAACAAATAAATTATGTAATGCAAAATACAGGGACCACAGTTTTAAGACTGAATAGATCAAAATAAATATTTCCTAAATATTTTAATGGTGTTTTTATTATGCTACTCAGAATTATAAATGACAAAGTTTTCTTGTTTTTTTTTTTTTAATTTCATTTTGGAACAATTTAAAAAAATTTTTCCGAAGAATTAAAATTGATTTTTGGGACAGTTCCAAGGTGATGGTGAAAAAAGTTAGTCTACTTTCTAGCTTTGAGCGGAAAATTAAGGTACAAATTTGTATATGAATAAAAACAGCAATAATACAAATAATGCCAACTTAGAATTTCACAGGAAATTGATAACAATAGAAAGAAAATTTGTTTTTGATCTTGCATTATTTTTTTAATCCATATTTTTCCAAAATATATATATATATATATATATATATATATATATATATATATATCCATGATAAAAATATAGTTTTAAGGTATGCTATATTTATAGGTTAGTTCTCAATATCAGGGAGAGAGCATAGTAATTGTAAAAGTGGATATTGAGGTCAATATCCAGTAGTGACAGTCTGTTTCATGCTTAAATGCAATCTTGAGGTCATATATATATATATATATATATATATATATATATATATATATATATATTACTAATTGCTATTTTTGTCCAAAAATGTTTGAATCACAGGTGGGAATTTATTAAAACTTATGTTTTCTTTTAGATGGAATTTTTTTTTAATGTCACTTGCTTTTTCCCCCTCGAGGTACAGATATACTATCAGTTTTATATTGGTGAAATATCTTATCAATCATACCAGCGACAAATAAAGTTAAAACTACATAAATGTCACACAATTAAATTTTTGGAATGGTTCTGTGAAAGTAGAGTTTACTTGTTACTATTTGCTATTGTCACTTACAATGTATACCCTTTGTGAAGCTATGCACTCTGTGAGAGAAGGGTGCTATTGCTAGAAACATTCTTGGAACTTGTTTTCTCAAATATCTCTCAGTAGTTACATGTTGGATGTGACAGATTACAGCAAATCTTTGTCTTTTCAGGGCATTTTTAATTTTGAAAAGCCAAAAATGAGAGGAGTCTTATAATGTGGATAACACATTTTTATAATGGATTTCTTAGTAAGGAACTTGTGAACTCATAAAGTATCATGTACAGAGGAGAGTTCAGGTCTTTTCTTCTGATTAGATTCTTGTAACCCTTTCAGCACTTTCAAATAAACATTTTGGTTGAGAGACTGTCCTTATGTTAAGAATTTGTAGTAAATTATCCCTTTATGGTCAAAGAAATGCACAAGCATGGTCTTGCAAGATGAGGAAGATATACATGTTTTTTTTTTCATCCAAGGTGAATTTGTTCTTTTTATTGCATGTTATGGTGCATTCTTTCTTGTTTGTATTGAACATGCCATATTTCATTATTGGTAATGATCCTGTTAAATATCTCTGCATTATTCTAAAGATCAGGTAAAACAAAGTTGACATTGTTTCTTCATAAGAGTCAAGATTCGAGGGACCATCTTTGAAGAAATCTTTCTTATTCCCAAATCCTTTGTTTGAATCTGCTGCACTGTTTCCCTTAATGGAAGTGCTAGAGTGAGAAGAATATTTCCAGTTGCCTTATTATAGGTATTAGTATATCCTTGATATACTAACACCTTAATACTCTGAAAGGAAGGACCAGATTAGTTAAAAGAAATGAATGCCAGATATGCATGGTGCTCAAAGAGATTTTATATACAGATGTGCTAAACAAGAAATTACATACAAATATGTATACCTGTCATTACTTGTACCACAGAGAGAAATTATAACACATGAATACAACAAGCAGTTTGAACTGGGATGAAAATCTACAGGATCTTACTTGTAATGACAGGCTGGTGCTGTTCACTATATTCCTTGATGGAACCATGTGATTTTGATTTATTTACACTACTGCTGTGGGCTTATGACATCTATTCCCCTCATAGTCTATCTAACAAATGGAATTTGTTACTCCACAAACTCAGCGTTCTGGGTAAGACGTTAAACTACATCCATGTCCTGGGTAAGACGTTAAGCTATATTCATGTCCTGGGTAAGATGTTAAACTATGACCAGCAGCAAGGCCTCTGATCAGGAGGTTTTGAGGAGCGTGGAATCACCTCTTAATTGCTGATGTTCCCAGGTCCACCCTGACCCAGGGTGGTAGCCCTGTTAGGGTCCCAGCTATGGGCGAATAGTTAACTATTACCAGCAATACTTTTTTGAAGGAAATATATTACCAGAAACAGATTTTTGACAAAACCAAATATTACCAGCAATAAAAATTTTTGTTGGCATTAAATAACCCATTAAGGTTGATATGCCATTAAACAAATTAAACCAAACCAATCTAAACCAAAGAATACATACTCTATTCATACGAATCTATCCTAAAAATGTTGTTGGTATGAAATAACCCATTGAGGTTGATATGCCGTAAAACAAAATCAAACAAACCAATCTAAACCAAAGAATACATACTCTATTCATACGAATCTATCCTAAAAATGTTGTCGGTATTAAATAACCCATTGTGGCTGGTATGCTGTTAAACAAAATAAACCAAACCAATCTAAACCAAAGAATACATACTCTATTCATACAAATCTATCCTAAAAATGTTGTCGGCATTAAATAACCTATTGTGGTTAATATGCCATTAAACAAAATAAACCAAATAAACCACAAACTCAGCCACAGTCAAATGACCCTTGTAAATTCATTTTACTCAAAGGGAGATAATCACCTTCTGCATCCCTACACTCTCTTCATATTTAGTTCTTCCAGCAGTTGCACACTTAATCTTTTATCTGAGTGCACCAAAATTTGTATTTTGTTCATATTTGCGTCTGTCCTTTGTATTTTTGGCTGCCCATTTCTTCTGTCATTGTACACACCTTTACACCTTTATTTCACCCTTATCTGTGCCACTTAAAAACACTCAATTTCATCATAACATGTTTACCATAAACCATTTTAATAAAGTTAATGTTTCATTTGTACTTTTACCAATATTTTACAAACAACTAGATATTAATCTACTTCAGACTCCATTCATTCATTTTAAAATGAACAGCAAGAAATGATTCAACTAGTCTGTGTCTCAAAACATTTGAAGTTGGAACATATCTAAATGTGATTTGGTTCAAATGCTTGTCTGACTCATTATTCCAATGGCATGCTGTGTTGATTCTGGAAATTTTGAAATCTCATTGTTCATCAGTCTGTTCCAAGTGTTTGCAACAAAATATTTTTTTCTCCTGAGGTACATGTATATTATCAATGTTAATGTGATATCTATGCCAATACAACTCAGCCAGTTCTATGTGTTTGAAATGAAATATTTTTCCTCTATTATAGAGCCACAACTCACACAGATCTTGTGCTAAGGGCCAAGCAAGAAGGTATACCTGTTTCTGTTGTCCATAATGCATCTATCATGAATGCTGTTGGCTGCTGTGGTTTGCAGGTAAGAAAGACTAAATAAAAACTTAAGACCTTCACATTTTTTAGTTGTCTAAATCCATGGTAACACTGAAAATATTCATTTAGGAGTAATATTTTGTAATGTTTAATGCTTACTTGAAATAATTTTAAAATGTAGGTTAAGGTAATAATAAGAAAATTGAAGATTAATAACAATAAGTGCTGGATTCTGTGAATATTGTAATGAAAAATGGCCAGTATAACAAGAAAATTGTTTTCCACAGAATATTCTTCACAAATGCCAAATCTCCATTGTGAGGAAAGTTAAAAAAAAAAAAAGGGATGATCAAAAGTTTCTAGCATAGTTTCTTTTTTTAATTGAAAAAAAAATCAATTTTCTATTGTGTCTGATTAAAATTATTTTTCCCAAGAAACATTATTTAGCCATAGGTAACATTTTTCCATTGCTAGGAATTTACAAAATTTAATTTTCATTAATAATCGTCTGGTTTGTACAGGTGTAGAGGTTTATCTCTTGTTTCCTGTTTAGGATTGGGTTTCCAGTTCCTTCTAAATCCTTTTCCTTCCTTTTACAAAATTTATTTTTCATTAACAATCGTCTGGTTTGTACTCCTCCCTAGACTTTTGAACAGGTGTAGAGGTTTATCTCTCGTTTCCTGTTTAGGATTGAGTTTCTAGTTCCTTCTAAATCCTTTTCCTTCCTTCCTTTTACTCTTAGTGATCCCTTGCATCTTGGTGGCATTATCTACTTATCTCCTTACTCATTAACCCTCTGCTTCGAGTGGCTCTTGAGCCATATACGAGGTAAACATCATTGTAAAATAAAATAATGAGTTGGTCAGTCAACTTGAAACCTCCAAAGCGAGTGGAGGTGGGCAGGCGCAGGAACTGTGATTGGTAGCTGGTTTGTTGGTGTTTTGCATAGGTGAGTTACCAAGCTCTATGTAAAGGGCTGGAATGAGAAGGAGGTCAGTTTTCAGTCTCAGAAGTGGAGACTGTGTCCGTCGCTACGACAGCAGGAGAGAAAGAGATGAAGTCATTTATTTTTTTCGTGACGCATTCCAACACAATCTATTTCGGCATTTACTTTGTCTCCAGCAAGATGGCGGAAAGACCGTTCGACATAAAACTGATCTCCGAATTCAGTGGTGATACGAGTCGACAGTCTGTGGTTGAATGGATCGAAAAAGTGGAACTGGTCTGCGAATTATGCAAGATCACGAAGATTGAATGGATTCTTCCACTGCGATTGAAAGGCGGCGCCCTTGCTGTGTATAGGCAGCTGAGCAAAGAACAGAAAAGTGACATTGAGCAAATAAAGCACGCTCTACTAACTGCATTTGGAACTGACTGGTTTGTGGCCTATGACCAATTCCAGGCGCGGCGTCTGCGACCTGGCGAAACAGTAGACGTATATTTGGCAGAATTAAAGAAGCTCGATGTACTGATCGCACCGCTTCCTGTAGAATGGATGACCTGTGCCTTAGTGTCTGGATTGCCTAGTCATGTTAAGCAAATACTCCATGCATCATCCAGAATGGAAGACATGATGCTCAATCACTTGTTGACCAGAGCCCGTGCTATCATGATCGCTGAAAAAGAGGCTGATGGACCAGTGGCCGCAGTTGTTCAGCCAATTGAAGTCAAAGAGGATCTGACCCCAGACATCCGTTGCCATGGCGATGTCACCTGCTATCGGTGCTCTGGGCCGAATCATTTTGCCAAAGACTGCCGCTATCAACGCAAAGCAATGCGCAGCGTGTTGGCACGAAAGGCATGTTTCGATCTACGATGTTTCCAATGTCATAAAGTAGGTCACATTGCCTCCAAGTGTCCGGGAAATAGAATGGGGGATGCAACGTCAGCCGGTCTCTTCTCCGCACCGAGCATGAAAGAGGCGCTCCCTGTGATTAAGGTGCACATCAATGGAATAACGCGTACCGCTTTAGTAGATTCGGGCTGCTCTCGGTCACTCATGAATGGTTCGATTTGTCGACAGTGGAGCAGACAAAAGATGGATGTACTAACAGCTGATGGAAAAGCTCTCAGAAGCCGGGGAGTTGGAAACATCAAACTCACTATCAACAACGGTAACCCCGTTACAGTCAGCATGTTGGTCGTGGACAGCGCGTTATTAGGTTTTGATCTGCTCTTTGGGATGGACATTATTAAGGAGCTGGGCGGCATACACATCACAGAGGCGGGTGAAGTCGAGTTTTCTGATCCACCCATCTGTGCTGCCTTGAGGATTAATGAACCTGACTTCAGTGCAACTTTCGACCAGCTCAGGCGCATATGGACTGCAACATGGAAGTGGGCAGGTGGACGAATGCCCACACCACTGAAAAATAAAATATCAGAGTTCTCAGTTCCAGAGCATATCAGGAGCGAATAAGAAAATGAATTGCAGCTTTGGATAGCAAACGGCTGGCTTGCGCCGTACTTCGAGGAGGAGTTAGGGCCGCCTCGAGGACTAATTCCGTTGATGGCAATAGTGCAAGAGAATAAAGGGAAAGTGAGACCGGTCATGGACTACAGGGAATTGAATACCTTTGTAGATGTATATATGGCCAACGCGGACGTTTGTGCCCAGGAATTGTGGGAATGGTGACAGCAAGGGAGCAATGTGGCCACCCTCGATTTAAGAAGGGCCTACCTCCAAGTCCGAGTCCACCGATCACTCTGGCCCTTTCAGACTGTCATGGTAAAAGGACAGAGATATTGCCTCACTCGATTGGGATTTGGTCTTAATGTGGCTCCAAAAATCATGTCAGCGATTATGAATGTGGTCATGTCGCAGGATGAGGAAATTCGAAGGGCAATGTCATCCTATATTGACGATGTTTACGTCAATGAAAATGTGGCCTCTTCAACAAGGGTTAAGGAACATCTGGAGTGCTTTGGCTTGGTGTGCAAGGCCCCAGAGCCGCTACAGGATGGAGTGAATGTACTTGGACTACACGTCAGTAGTGATGGAGAAAAACTTCGCTGGAGACGAGGTAGTGATGTCCCGGAAGTCCTGCTGTGATCACTCATCGGAGTACCTTCTCCATGTGTGGGAAATTGGTAGGTCATTTTCCCATATGCGGTTGGCTCAGAGTGGCGGCAGCAACCATAAAGTGCCACATAACTTCTGTTTTGTCAGGATTAGATGATGAAAGTGACTCTGAAGATGGTGCGCGAGTGGTGTATTTAAAGTCGGATCCACTGAATTCTACCTCAAACATCAGTACTCTACCTGCGGACGTCAACGTGGCCAGCTGTCCAGAGGCGGATAGTAGCTCAACGGATGAGAGTTCATTCGAGGATGAGGACCCTGTCATCCCGCTCAGAAGGAGTGCCCGCAGAAGAGGCCTGCCCTGAAGTTGCGTTGTGCGTAGCATGACAGCGAGACACGGATGAATCTGGAAATCTTCCACCTCAGAGCAAACGAGTTCGCGCATGTGTGGTTATCCCAATATGTCAAGCGTGCAAGTTGGATATATGCGGACGCAGTCACCAGACAGATGTGACCATCTCTCGAACTGAGAAGCTTTGTGATCTTAAGATCAGGTGGGGCATGTAATGAGTTGGTCGGTCAACTTGACACCCCCAAAGTGAGTGGAGGTGAGCAGGCGCGGGAACTGTGATTGGTAGCTGGTTTGTTGGTGTTTTGCATAAGTGAGTTACCAAGCTCTATGTAAAGGGCTGGAATGAGAAGGAGGTCAGTTTTCAGTCTCAGAAGTGGAGACTGTGTCCGTCGCTACGACAGCAGGAGAGAAAGAGATGAAGCCATTTATTTTTTCGTGACGCATTCCAACACAATGTTCAGTTCTTGAAAATTAAGAAGAGTAATATTAAGCATATTATGAATTCAGAAATATGGAAGCTACTCATTAAAAGTGTAAATAGTAGGATTTCTTTTCTTTTTGAATTCTTAAAATATATTAATTACATTGTACGCTGTGTTCAATGAAAAATGTTCTGCAATGTTTCAACATTTCCTGCTATTTATATTCACAGATTCTGTCATAATGAGAATCATTGTTTTCAGCTACAGCTGCTCTAAGATTTATTGTTTTTTTAAAATAAAGAAGAAAAGATAAACTACAATTAAACAGCTACTTTATTTTGAATTGTTCAAATTATCAAGATTCAACTCTAAATTTTAATTTTTCATTGTGATTATTTGGTATTTTTAATATTTTTTCAGCTTATGAATATGGCTTAAAGATTTAATTAGATTTTTTTTATTTTTTTTATCAAAAGGTATTATAATTTTTATATGAGAGAAGCTGACAACATAGATATTAGACAATTACAGACAGCAGCATTATTTTTTCTGAAGCTAATATACCCTCAAATTGATTTCTTTTTTAATCATTTCACCCCAAGCAAGCCAATAATGCCACTAGGATGCAAAGGATTACTGGGAGTAAAAAAAAGAGGGGAAAGTTTAGTGAGGAGAAAGGACAATAAAAGAACAGTATTCAGGAAGACAGAAGATGGCAATTAGTGCTACATTTAAATTTTTGAAGATTGTAGGTGGTAGGGAAGCCAAAAATTGGAAGGGAGTTCCACAGGTGAGAAGTGCAAGAAAAAAAAAGCTATTGAAATAGACCATATGGTTGCATCTAGCTAGTTTAACAGTAAAATGGTGAGATGTATCTAGTAGTATGCTTAAATTCATGCTGTTGAGTCACCAAAGAGGAAAACTCATCAGAACAATTGCCATGAAAATATTTGTAGAAAAGACAAAGGGAATCCATATCACATGAGAAAGTGACCAAAATCAAAATGCTAGGTCAGGATTAATTACATTACAGACACTTCTTTGAATTTTGTCAAGAATCTTGAAATATATAGTAGGAGTTCCAAACCAAATATGGCAGCAATATTCAATGCACAGATGAATTATAGATTTATAAATGTGCAAGATGGATTCTGCTGAAAAAAATTATCTGGAATGGCACATGAACCAACTTTCCTTGCAGTAGATGTAGCAATATAATCATTCCACTTATTAAATTTTATCATGTAATGTTCTTTTTTGTCAATGTGGGCTTTCTTTATTTTTATGCTTTTCTTTTTACAGCTCTACAACTTTGGTGAGACAGTTTCAATTTGTTTTTGGACAGAAACATGGCAGCCAGATAGTTTTTATGACAAAATTGCAGTGAATCTGGAAAGAGGCATGCATACTTTATGCTTATTAGGTTAGTATTTTGTATCTCTTATTTGATAAAACTAAGTATTTGATCGTAGCTTTTTGCACAACAAATAAATTGTGCAAAATATCAGCATTACTTGTTAATTTAAAACAAATTATTTTATTATCATATAGGAGTAATTGAAAGTAGATGGGCAAATAATAGAGATTTCATTTGCGACAAGCACAGGATGAGAAAAATGAGATAGTAGTGGAGCTAATACTAGACCAATGATTCTTAAAGTGGGTGGTACTGAGAGAGTGTCAGTGGCACATCTGAACCCTAACATACAACACATACACACATTATACCTGAAGTGTATCTTACTTTCACTTTAGAGTGTATACCATTTATATAACAATTATTATGGGAAATATATATGACTCATTTGACATGCAATGCAAGAAAATTCAATCAAAGGTCGACTATACGTTTGGTCGGGGCAGTAAAGTTGTGTTTTGGTATGTAAGGGGATGGCAACCAAAAAAAGTTTGGGAACCAAGACCTGAACATATGTGTTCTGGGATACTATCAACTCCTTGATAGAATTCTTTTAGTTAAGTTGAAAGAAAAGCTGTTTAATATATCCATTGTAGTTGTATATGCACTTGACAATGCAAAGCATAGAGGAAGAAATTGATAGCTTTTACTGCAAACTGGACAATAACAAGGCTAAATGCAAATTGTAAGGAATTACAATCATCATGGAAGACCTAAATTTCACTATATCACTTCTTACCTAAGGAGTGATATAGTGAAATAATTGGTACATTCAGATTAAGAACCTGTAATGAATGTGGAGAGAAATATATTCAATGATGTAGAGCAAATGACCAGGTATTACCCAACATGGAGAAGACCAGGATGTGAAACAGATTGACTATATAACAATAAAAATTCAGAAATGCAGTTTTACACTGTAAAACATATCCAAGTGCCGACTGTGATAAATAATTTCAGATTAAAATTTGGGAAATTAAAGAAAACTAATTACAATGCAACAGATTTGAATGACTCGAAATTAAAAGTGATGTATACTGACAGCATTAAAAGCAAATACTATAAATGAGAATAGAATTCAAAGTGGGACACATTAAGAGAAGTTTTAGTGATATAGGGATACAAATGGCAATTATATCACTTTGGTTAAGATGAAGTCATGTGATGGCCCTTTAGTGATATCACTTCATAGAGTGATGAAAGTGGATAATCCTTCAGTCAGTTTCCAGGAGTCAAACCAGGCAGTTGCTTTTTAGCACAGACAAGACAAGGGATGGAGGCTAAATCTGTCTCTCCTAGCTTGCTCAAATCTGGAATTCTAGATATGGTTTCTCCAGAAACACAGAAGAATTGCCAGCAGCCCCGGTTTCCCTTCAGAAACTATAAGTAACACCCTATCATTTCATTCTTTTTTCACACTGCTTGTTGTTGCATATATATGTTATATTTTCTCTGCATGGGATAAATGTAAATATAATTTTGTGTATGACTTAGCAGTATAAAACTCTTTCTCTGAGAACAAATCATGTTTGTCATTCCTTTTCTTAACAGCTATTTCATTCCATCCATGAAATGTGGTATTATTATATCATGGATATAGTAGTGTCAATAATGGGAGAATATTCATTTTCTTCCATAGTCACCCATTATTTGGTGATACTTGACATAACATATAATATTATTAAACCCTGTTAGCGACATCAGTAAATGAGATCATTCCAAGAATAAAGTAATAGATGTCATATGTAGTTCTCAACATGATGAAAAGGAAAGTGTAAACAATTCTAATGTATGATATAGAATATAGTACATTATACAAAGAAATTAGAAACCAGTACATACAGGTAAATGAGGAATGGATCAACTAAAAGTTTGCAGAAATAGAATGAGCATAATATAAGGTAGATATGTATAAAAGAATAAGTGATATAACAGGACAAAAGATGTATTCATCGACAGGACAGCTCTTCTGCTTTGAAAAAGAGAAACCTGCAATAAAATAAAAATATGGAAGGACCTGAAATATTAAAATCTGAAATGAGATCAGTACTAGCCAAAATGAACAGGAATAAAGCAAGACAAGATGGGATTTTAATACTTGCAGCCTTTGAGGATTTTGTCATTGACAAGATTATATAAATATACCACAGTGGTGATATACTGAAAGATCTAAATAGATTCATTTTCATTGTCACTATTCTATAACAACAATAATGTTGATTATGATGATGATAGCGATGATTGTAAGCACTTCCAGTCCCACTAGACAATGCTGGGAGCAAACCGATCAAGCGTCAGTTTGAATGAATTATTGTTGCCTGTGGTTGACCAAGAGTATGAGTGAGGTGTTTTGGCAGCATTTCCAGAACCATTTTACCAAGGAGCTTGGTCTCTGTGAGGAAGAGTTTTGTAGCTATTTCATCAACTTTCTTTGTGTTGAGTTGTTGGGAATGTTCCCGCGTGTGTGTATTCGAATAAAGACAAATACAGTTGTAGGGATAAATACTGGTATATTTGTAAGAGGTAATTAACAACAGAGTGATTAGTAATAAAGAACGCCGGTTAGTAAGTAACAATAGCAAAAGTCTACAGTCCAACGGTATGTAATGGTAACCTGATCTCGACTGCTGTCGCTGAACCTGATCCTACACACAACACAACTACTCTCTCTAGCACTGACATATTGTAGAGGGTTAAGTCCATTATCAGTCAGAAGGTGGGAGCGCCCCAACACTTTGTGAGGGTGAGATCACAGAGGGTAACAACCACTTGACATTGAAGAGGGTTGGCAGTGGTAAGTCTCTGGGATTTGATGGTCTGCCCTACAAATTGTACTTGAGGCTGTCACACATGATATTCTGATTGGTGTTCAACAGCTGATTCCAGCAGGGGTTCATCTTCAATCAGATCTCCAGAGGTGTGATCACACTGTTGAGAAAGGACAAGCATGGTTGGGGGCATTTAATCAATTACAGGCCCATAACTCTGCTAAACAGAATAAAAGATTTTGGCCTAGACCCTGACTGAGCATTTGCAGTCAGTTGCTTAGATTCTGTTTGAACCGGACAGGGCATGCTATCCTGTCCTACATGGAATTGGTGTCCCTAGTGGAATGCAAGCCAGGGTTTCTGCATATGTCGATGATGTATTCATTTTCTTGTCATACTGCAGAGACATTGAGGCAGCGCAGAAGGTGCTTGAATGGTATGAGTAGGTCATGGGTGCTAAAATTAATTGCGACAAGTCTTCCAGTTTGTGATTAGGTGCTTGGAAGTGCGTTGCTCTTCCGGGGCACTTCTGTTGGACTGATGGTCCCATCCACATTCTTGGAGTGTCTTTTGGGCCAGGTCTCCAGCTGAAGAAGAATTGGTTGGAGACTTGGCTCTGAAGGTGGTTGTCTTTGAAGGGTAAGGCTGAGGTGTGCTCTGTGTACATCTTTACTCTCATCCTTTATTAGTTGTCAATACTTCCTCTCTGCAAGGACTGTATGAAGTCAATTGAGTGCTTGCTTTTCTCTTGTGGGGTAGATGCAAGCCATCTGTGTCCAGTGGTCCAGTGACCTTTCATGGCCTAGGAAGACATTGTATCAGGAACTAGTGGAGAGGGTCGCATAAAACTCAATCTATGGGCAGCTTGGTTTGTCGGTGGCTGAGTTGCGCTCTGTCTGGTCCTGGGTACCAGTGACAAATTATCTCAGCAGCCCTGAGTTTTTTTTATCTAAAATGCATTATCTCACAATCATGTGGGTTTCAGAGCAGGCTAGGTGGATATGCCTGACTGTCATTGGTGTGACCTTGATTTACAAGAAATGGCTGCATATACCTTCTGCCACAGGTGTGCACGTTCTGGGATTATGCTGGTGATTTGATGGTTGGTATCAATCTCAAACATCTTGTGATCATCAATCTCGCATATGCATGTGATAATGTGTCATGCCACATGTTCTGGGGGTGAAACAGATGGTGTTTCTGACACTGCGATATGGATGGCAAGAATCTTAGGATACAAACTTTATTCTCATCAGGATCTGGTTGGATTCTTTGGGCATCAGCCCAGGGTGAAGATCAGAACTGATAGAAAGCATTTGGTGTTAGCAGTTTTCAATGAAAGGTGGGTAAAAGTGGTGAGTTTGGTTCATGTGAACCGGGCTAGTCTTGATTTTTATTTTTAGTCACCTTTTGACACAATGGGGCAGTATCCTGTCAAACCCATCCCCTGGTTAAGTAAACTCTTTTGTTTACCTATTTAATGTGTATAATTGTTGTTATTGGACTGTTCTTGGCATTATCTTTAGTTATGATCCATGTCAAGGTTTCCAACCTCCTCAGTTTGTTTTTATCCCCCTTTTATCTTGACTGGGTTAGTTTTTGATTTTTCCACTCAACAATTTATTTTGTCCTTCCTTCACCTTTAGTGGTGAGTGTCTTGATTTTGCCTATTGGCAGAATGCAGTGGCCACCCTTATTTTTCTAGTGGGTGTATGGGTCCTACTAAAATATTGTATTTCTAATTTGAATGTTGTAGTTTATTTTCATTATTGGGTTCATATCCTCCTTCTCATTTTATTTCATATATTTTTAACTATTTTTATAAGAAAAAAGAAAAAAAAGACATTTGTATATATTGTGGAATTTTTATGTTAATGATATTTTACTAGGATCCCTGTGAATATGTGGTATTGTGGTATATATCTGATGAATGGTGATAGATGAATTCTTGTAGCGATTGAGTAAAGTGTAATGGATGAATGGGTCATGAATCAGCTAAATTTAGGATAGACAGTGATGACCAGCTTCACCCCACCTTGTGTCAAAATAGTAATTTGAATAAAATAGTTGTTGAGTTTAGCATGTCTGATGTCATTATTGGGTTGGTTTAGCACCCAGTCTCATATAATTTATCTTCCCACACTAAGCCTAGTGGAACATGGTGTCAGAGAGGGATTTGTTCTAAAAGAAGAACATTTTTTCTAGTAGAACAACAAAACCCAATTTGGAAAAGAAATT